TGGCTCACCACTCATACATTAGATTGATTCGTGGATTTTAATGACCCTTACTATTAGAGCTGCTAAGGTTATATATCCACTGCAGCCCCTCTCAGTCTCAGTGGCAGAGGCAGTGCGTGACCCTCATCTGCCCCTCAGTCATTCCCTTTTCTAAACCACCATCATTACTTCTTTATTCAAAAACAATTTCGATTACCACGAGGACCCTTTTGTCATTTCCTTGTTGTTGTAGTAACTCTGACGTATTTTTGGACCAACCGGAGAGTGAGAAAGACTGAAGAGGAGGCACGAAGACGCAAGCTGCTGTGACCAGGAGAAAGCGATCGAGGAAAATTTGAGGCAAGTAGGCAACTTGCTTGACCCGCGTGGGAAGTCGACTCCTCACTCCATTGCCGGCCGTGTACGTTTCGTGGGCCCCACACGTGTGGATCCTACGTGGCATTACTTTATAGCGCTTTGACGTTCACATTACGACACGCACGGGCATGACCTCTCCCCCTCCGCTTCTCCGGTTCGTCTCAGCCCAGTCTCAGGCCATTTCCACGTTCCTTCTTGAAGTGCCGTGACGGCGGCGTTCAACGCTTGCTTTGACTTCCCGAACCAGACCGAGTCAAACGTGAAACACCGAACCAGTTTTTCCTTCCCTTCAATATTATTTTTCATTTTTCTAATTTTATTTTTTAGAAGGTCCCACCTTGGCTTGATGGACCATTTGATGGAGGGTGATTTGGCCCGACCTCATAACGAAGGGACACATGAACGTGACTTGACATAAGTGACAACTCGGCATAACGAGCTCGCTCCAACTCAGCGTAACGAGATCGCTATAACCCAGTCTGACAGCTCGTCATGAATGGCAGCTCGCTACAAGATAATACTCCGTTGCCCTGAGCTAAGACTCCCCCAAGTAGGGAGTATCCCGAGCTAAGACTCTCCCAAGTAGGGAGCACCTCGAGCTAAGATTCTCACGAGTAGGGAGAATCCCGAACTGAAGACACTTCAGGTTAATCTCATCAGCTCCCTAGCTAGAATAAGCTCGCTCCTGTTCAAACCTAAGTAGGCCACCTAGGCAACCTGCCTCAAATAGAAGCACCTCGGCATATCACCAACAGCTCGGTGTATCGTAGGGGCATTTCTTGCCTAACAACCATACCTACCAACCGTGGAGACTGTGCCCACGTCTCTCGCCTGGCGGCGTCGTGCATGCCAACCCTGGAGGTTGTTTTTTCTAGCAGGACCGTACTCTGCAGCGATCACCTTCGCCCACCAACTCAGCTCTGACAAATAACGGCCACCACTCCAAGCCATTATCTGACAGCAGATCGCCGCAATAGAGATTTGGAGGCGGTTGCACCTGACATATCATGATACTAGTATATAAGGACCTCGACCCCCAGAGGCGAAGGTATTGCGTGATCATCACTCTAGCTCTTTAATTTCTCTGCAACTCTCTCTTTCTCTCCCAGCTTTCAATCCAGTTACTAAATTAACCGTCAGAGTGTTCCCGCTGGGTGAGCCCCCCAGGTTCCTTCATCTTCTTCCTCACAGGTATCTTTCGTCCGTCGCCAACTAGGAGCGCAACCACTTCTAGTTAGGAGTGACCAGATCGTGCACCATCACCATCATTTACCGTACACGTAGCTTCTGAATCATCGAAGGGAGAGACATCTACGGTCTACGTTGGTTTTGTTTCTCCCCTGACTCCTAAGTTCCTAACCGTTTATTTGTTTGCCACGTAGGTTACAAATGAATTGGATGGGGACCATACTCCAGAGACCGGATCTGCAACTTATCGAGCGTGCCTCATACCAATTTCACAGCACGTTTCAGCCGTGCAACTAGAACATCTATCCATGAATTAAAAATTTATAAGTTCGAAATATTATATTCTAAATGCACGGCTGATACGTGCTGCGAGGTCGGTGTGAGGCGCGCTCTGAGAGCAGATCCGAACTCCATACTCCATACCATGAAATAATGGCTACCCGTTACCGTACAAATGTATATTCAAGCAACTCAACTCAGACAACAAATCAATCCCGGTTTAGTAGGAAACAGGATCTGTTGTAGAACGCGGGAAATCTTCTCTCCGAATTTTATTTTAGTATATCAGAAGTCAAATATTTCTTCCTCTCTCTAAAATCGTAAGACTTCTCTGATCTCTGTTAGTCTATCAAACAAAAGGACTTTTGTAAAGCATCTTCTTGTAAAGGCAGTTGCGACCATGGTTTTTAAAAACGAACCGGTCAGGGGTTCGGTTATCGGTTCGAACGGTCTGACCATTTAACTTGAATGGCCGGTCCGTTTTAATAAAAAATAAAAAATTTAAAAATTTAAAAAACGATCAAAATCATTCGAACAGTTCGAACGATTCGAACAATTAATCGGCTGGTTCAATGATTCAACAGTTTTAGAGAAAAATGGATGACCGATTCCCAATTTTTCCGGTCCAACCATCCGGTCCGATCCGATTTTAAAAACAGTGGTTGCGACTCTTAACTGCTGCTAACTACAACGAAAATGACACAATTAGTTTTAAATCCACTTGCAAACAATCTTAATTCTTATCTCCATCTTATGTGACTATCAACCACAAAACTAATGATCCGTAATAGAAATTGATATCTCCATTCTTAATTACTTTATCAGCATATTATGCCCCCCCCCCCAATTCAACGGTGTCGATTGAATCTGCACTAATACCAAAAACCATCACTAGAGATTTGTCTCTTTGTTCTTGGTGTCTATGTGCAGGTGCAGCCCCCCTTTTGGAAAGTATAGAAAGACGAAAGTGCTTTTGCCTCCATGTGGAAATTCCACATCCAAAAGTTGCTACACCGAGGTCGTTATCCGGAAATAAGGGATCCATTGAGTCTACTTAGATTTTAATTTTCAATATTTTTAACAAATAAATAATTAGTTAAATATTCTTTTCACACATATTGGCTCGTTTCCTTTTTCTTTACTGCATTAAGAACCCTTGTTGAGTTTGTTTGTGATGTCTCCTTGTTGGTCCAAGTAGGGTGAACCACCCACTCCAGTGCCTGTCTGTGGCCTACACTCTTGCTAGGCCAATTCTAAAATGCCAAAATTAGCCTTCAACTCAAACCAAATTTTCTACTCTTGATGTTACTTTTGTGGGTAATTCTCTCCAAATTCTCAACTTCTACAAGCTATGTTGCTTTCAAATGACTCAACTTGAACAAATGTGAAAATGTCTCAAATCTCCATCTTAAGTTGATTCCTATGAAACCTAAATTTGTTAAGTACAATTTGGAAGTTTTTGAGAATTTGACAGAACTGCCCATGGAATTTAATTCGGTTTTATTTCCTTTCCAACCCCAAATTTTGACTGTTCTTAGTCTACAAAACCAAATTAGCTGATTTAAGACAAGTGCTTGGATCATCATCTCTTAGAAATTGAAGATGGGGACCAGGGAGGGACGGTAAGGCTGTGTTTGGTTTGATAGAAAATAATAAAAGAGAAAAAAGAAAATTAAGAAAAAGTTTTTAAGGAATTTCACAATATGTGTTAAGAACTTTCCCTTAAGTTTCTGCTTCTCACTTATTTCGCATCTGTTGATTATTTATACTGCTTTAATTTAAACTTGAAAACCGTTTTTGTAAAAAGAAATTAACCAAAAAAAAATATGATTTCAACTTTCTATGCAAACTAAAGATAGTGCAGAAAAAAACTTGTATAAATTTTCTTATTTCTAAATTATTCTTATAAGTCATTAAGTCCTTTAATATAGTACAAAACCCAATTTTGTGATCAACATTTTATTAGTTACAAGTTGAATGGCTAACGTGCAAAGGGATATAGAGAGGAAAATAAATAGATTTAAGGTAATGGTGGTCTCTACTTTTTTGTTTTTGAAATATGATGGTCTCGACTTCGAGCAAAGGTAAGTATTTGCATTATATGGTAATATATATGTAAATAAAATTAAAAAAAAAGCTTATTTTTATTCATTCGCCCTGTTATTAGGATTTATGAATGAAACTTATTGTTTTATAAATAGATAATTAATTAATTAATACAAAAAATCAAAGAAATTGTATTCACATATTATAAAAGTACAAAAAATGAAGAAGAAAAAAGCTATATTGATGAAATCCTCCTAAACAATAATAGCAAATGATGTTGCGCGATCTAGTTGCTCTCTGCTGGAGGTAATCTGACTTCTAGGCGGACGGCGGATAAAGTTGAATCTGCAAAAGTATGATCAAAGAACCCGAGGTTACTAGCCCAACAAGATCGCTCCGATGCTTAAATTAGTATACTTATTGCGAGTTGAAATAGCTTAAAAATACAGAGAATTAGAAAATATAGAAATCACACGTACCTTGAACCTCTAAGGGTGGAATCTTTATATAATCGTGTCCTCGCAAGTTTCGCAGATCAGTTCGGGAATCATGCTGCTGGTTTTCTGAGAAGCCATTTTTAGTGATTGGGTTTTGGTTGATTAACTAACATTTATTGTCATTGGTGATTCATCCCACCCGGGGGCGTTGACATGCATGACCTCAAGTTCCGTTGTGATAGAACAAGTCAACAAAAAAATTGTAACCGTTTGATCCGATGATAATCGGACCTTAGGATCATATCAAATTGACTGAAGAGTTGTGATTCACAGACACAGAGACGTGATCCACCGGGATGGTATAACCCGATTGAATTAATTGAATTAGTTGAGGAGCTGATGCCATTTTCCATAATTTCTAAATATAGAATGTGGGTCCCACTCTTTACATTGTTCCCAAAACTTGGTTGAATTCTCAACTATAACAAAAGCGGAATTTACAAAAGAAAATATTGTAATAATTGAAATAATAAAAAGGAAAATTATAATTTAACTAAGGAGACAAGGAGGTAAGAAGAGAAGGAAGAAGAAAGGAAGAAAGTAAGAAACACAGAGGTCGGTTCCTTGCAGCCAACGCATGTGAGGTTTGGCTTCGGAGTTAGGTTCGGGTAAAGACTTTAAGCGGATAAGAACGACCCCAACCCAAGTCATCCCACTCCATCGACCACCGTTACAAGAACCCTCCCCACAACCTCTCTCATTTCTAACCCTTCAGAATCAGAGTTCTGAGCTCACAACTTACAACAATCTCTTCCCCACTTCACCTTCCTACTCCTCCATCTCTGAAACTCACAACTCCGAGAAAACCAGAGAAGCAGCGCAACTCAAATCTCCAAACTGGCGATCGATAATCAAGAGTCCACGGTCAAGGAAATCAAACCCAAGAGCAGAAGGATCATGGTTAGTACACCCATTCTCTCTGTTTCTCTCTTAATAGTAATTGAGCTTCATTGTCCTAGCTTTTTCCTTTTCCCTTTACATTTATTTTGATGAAGTCTAACTTGCTGCTCTGCTTTTTCTAAATGGAATCAGGGAGCTGGAGGTCCGGATGACGATGACAACAGGTGGCCACCGTGGTTGCGCCCTCTCCTTCGAACACCTTTCTTTGTTCAATGCAAGTTCCATGCTGATTCCCACAAGAGCGAATGCAATATGTATTGCTTGGACTGTATGAATGGGGCTCTCTGTTCTCTCTGCCTCGCTTATCACAAGGACCACCGGGCCATTCAGGTATGGTTTTCTTCATTTTGTTTCTAGGTATTGGGATATTGGATTTTCCCTTTCTAGTCAAAATGAGGGTTAACCTTGATGTTGATCTTCATAGACATAATTCCATTTATTTTTTTGTAAATGTTTTGCTTTTATTGGGTATATCTGGGTCTTCTCTGCTAGTTTTGATGAAGGTGCTCTGTTTTACAGATAAGGAGGTCTTCTTACCACGACGTGATTAGGGTTTCTGAGATTCAGAAGGTCTTGGACATTAGCGGTGTTCAGACCTACATTATCAACAGCGCCCGGGTTGTGTTCTTAAACGAGCGTCCTCAGCCCAGGCCTGGAAAGGGGGTCACCAACACCTGCGAGGTCTGCGAGCGTAGCCTCCTCGATTCCTTCCGATTCTGTTCTCTTGGCTGCAAGGTACACACCACAACCCATTCCATCGGATTCTGTTCTCTCTTAAATTTCATTTTTTTCTTGGTTAATTGAGCTTCTGTTAGATTTTAGAACAGAGCTTTTTAATCCAAGAATTACCGGCTTCGGCCATTGCACAATTAAGGCGTGGAAAATGAGGTGGATTTGTTTCTGCATTTTGCTTTTCAGATTGTCGGAACCTCCAAAAACTTCCAGAAAAGGAAGCGTTCGTCAGCGACGGCGTCCGACTCAGAAGACTCGTACAGTAGCAGCAACCATGACCACGAGAAGAAGAAGGTTCAGAGCTTTACCCCATCAACGCCGCCCCCAACGCTCGTAAATTACAGAACTGCCAAGCGAAGAAAGGGAATTCCCCACAGAGCCCCTCTTGGAGGACTTATCATAGAATACTAGAATTACTAGTCAAAGTAGTAGTTTATTACCTAGATACCCAGAATACCCCAGTGAATATTACATTGTAGCCCCTGTTTGTAGCCTTGATGTTTCTTTCTCTACGAAAGCCCTGCCCAGGCACTCGAGCTTTTTAGTAGTATGGAAGCCGGTGTTGGGAACTGAAGCTCTCTCTTGTATTGTTGTATATAGAAGGAAGCCTAAAGAAAAGACTGGAAAAGGAATAAAAGGAAAAATCGGCAGGAATGGAAGGAGTTGAAAATGATTAGTTCTCTATATAAGGTACCTAAAAGTAAAATGCCTAAGTTTTGTTAGGGGTTAAAATGTAAATATATTTTGTGAGCAGGGATGACAATGTAATGATAATGATAGACTTTGCCTATAAATGGATTGGAATAATAATATGGTTCCACGTTCATCTGTTTGGGAATGGGGTACTGATACACTGTATCGTTGTGTGGCAAAACAGATAAAACCACGATGAAACGTGGGTCCCTCGGCCGCCGACTAGCAAAGAAAAAGTTAAAAATCGGGGTTTGGGGACTGGGGAGGGGTCAGGCGGGTATCTGCCTTACACGTGGCGTCAATCAACTTGCTTAGCCACCCTCGATGACGATTCATCTCATCAGCTTGTGGTGCGTTTTCCTCGTGGGAAAAACAAAAGTAGGTCTACTCTCCTGTTTGGGTTCGGGACGGGTACTAATACTATTGGGGGTCTGGAATCTGGATTCTGGATAGTCATAGAAGAAGCATCTGTGTTGTTATGGTCCCATGCGAACGATGGGTTTGAAACTTTGAATTTTGATCATTTGACGTTGTGCAATGCGCAATGCGCGTCTTCATTACTTGTTATTTCTTAATATGCTAAGCAATATTATGCATTGAATCAACAGTTGATTCTAACCGTCCGATGGAAGAGGATAAGTAAAAGACAATGGGGACGAATCAAAAGAGAGGAAAGTCAGTGAATTGAACAGTTGAGAATGTGGATAGTGGAAGGCTTGTAGATGTGCATTTTATTGGACCGTGTAGAAATTAGAATGTCTTTGGATCTGAATGCACTGATCAGTATAAAACAATCATTACACTTAATGGAACTCGGCTTCGGGTCAGTGCAAGGCTCCTTTGAACAGCCTTTAGCGATTTGCATTGACTAAGCTCATCTCACACCTAATGTAGGAATTGATGAGAGCAAATTTGGCCCTCCAATAACATTATGAGACATGGCATATCAGAACAGCTGTACTATATCCCAGCATCACCTAGGCGATAACTTGCCTTAACCAAAATGGGGTCTCAGCTAGCGACCTGCCTCTGCGGTTGACCTGGTGACTTACTTCTGCTGCCAACCTGGCGACTTGCCTCTATCACCAACTTGGCGACCTACTTCTACTACCGACTTGGCAACTTGTCTTTGCTGCCGATTTGGCGACCTACTTCTGCCGCAAACCTGGCGACTTACTTTTGTCGCCGACTTGGCGATCTACCTTTGTCACTGACCTGGCGACCTACCACTGTCGCCGACATGGCGACCTACCTCTCTAAAAGTTTGCCAGTTGTTTCCAAACCTTTTGGGATCACGCTGCATAACCATAGGCCTTATCCTCATCCCGCCCGAACCGAGGGAAACGATAAGCCTTATTAACTAGCACGTTATCCTCCTTCCAAAGCGGAATAGACCCCTACGCCGTGAGCCGAGGATTCCAAGAGCGTTTCGTGAGACTCACAACAGCCCAACTATATGAGGGTGTCTGCCCTTGAGACCCAAGTAGATGCACAATTTAGTTCTCGCAGCTCTCCAGCTCTCTCACATTTAGCTATCTTATCTTAAAATCTCTGATTCGCTAACTTAAGCATCGGAGTGCCCACCCGCACTCTGACACTACTTCCTTGCAAGTCGCATCAAAGCCACATCTCCAGCTTGTCACCATTCAGCTAGGCATTAGAGTTAACTCTCCAACTCGTCACCACTCAGTTAGGCATTAGAGCCACCTCTCCAGCTCGTCACCACTCAACTAAGCATCAGAGCCACCTCTCGAGCTTGTCACCACTCAGTTAGGCATCAAAGCCACCTCTCCAGCTCGTCACCACTCAATTAGGCATCAGAGCCACCTCTCCATCTCGTCACCATTCATCTAGGCGTCCAAGCCACATTCCAGGTAGGGATTATTCATCCAGGCATCCGAGTCACCTACTAGCCGGGAGCTACCAAAATGTGCATCATCAATTGGCGCCGTCTATGGGAAATGCTACAAAAGGCTATGTTCTCACTCGATTCTTTGAGCTTCAGTAATAACATCTTCAAGCAATAACAATAGTACTTGATCGAAAGAACCCCCTAGGAGGGCAAAAGTAAAATGATTAGCCCAAACGAGTTCTCGTAGTCTTGCCTGGACAAAATCTCCCTAAAGGTGAGGCTACCCCCATATGTCGAGCTCTACATGCTCTCTACGAGAGTTAACGGCCAACAGAATGTGAGGCCTCCCCACAAGTCGAGCCCTCTATGGTTCCCGTGGGAGTTGATAACCAACAAACTATGAGGTCACGCTGCAGATCGAGCCCTCCATGCTTTACGAGGGAGTTGATGGCCAGCAGGTTGTGGAGCCGCCCTCGTAGGTCAGTCCTGTCGAGGTGACGAGCTGTCCGTAGGCCGAGGTGCTGAGAGCAAAACTAGACTATCAAAATTCCGACAACCTGGAGACTTGCCTCCGAACTGGCGACCTGCTTCCGCCGACCTGGCAACCTACTTCCACTGACCTAGCGATCTACCTCTACCGCCAAGATGGCAACCTACCTCCACCGACCTGGCAACACATGTAATCAGCCCGGCGAGAGCCTTGTTAGCCTTGTTCACGAGGTCTCCTCTATAGGTCAAGCCCTCTGTGGCTCTTGCGGGAGTCAGCGGCCAACAGACTATAATCGCCCTTGTGGGTTGAGCCTTTCAAGGTTCCCATGTGAGCTGGCAACCTATAGTTAGTAAAGCTACCCCATAGGTTGAGCTCCTTGTGGCTTATCGTAGGAGTAGACGACCAACACCTTAGAGGACTGACACAGTGCAACCGTGACACCGACCCGCTATTTAAATTCCAAACATTGACGCACATATCGCAAGGGGAAGCCAAACCGCTTTCAGTATCAAGGACCCTTAAGCCGACCTCGAAATATGTTGGTAATAGGCCAAAGGACCTACGACGAAGCATGAATCTACTCCCTTTGTTGAGCTGATCTCAGCTCAGGAGTGGGGGGCAATTGATGAGGGCAGATTTGGCCCTCCACTAACATCATGACACATGGCATATCAGAACAGCTGGACTACATCCCAACATCACCTAGGCGACAACTTGCCTTAGCCAAAATGGGGTCCCAGCTGGTGACTTGCCTCTGCTGCCGACCTAGCGACCTACTTCTGCTGCCGACTTGGCGACCTACCTTTGCTGCCAACTTGACGACTTGCCTCTGCCGCAAACCTAGCAACCTGCCTCTACCGCCAACCTGGCGATCTGCCTCTATCACCAACCTGGCGATCTACCTCTGTCGCCAACCTGGCGATCTGCCTCTGTCGCCAACCTGGCGATCTGCCTCTATCGCCAACCTGGCGACCTACCTCTCTAGAAGTTTGTCGGTTGTCTCTGAACCTTTCAGGATCACGCCGCATAATCGTAGGCCTTATTCTCATCCCACCCAAATCGGAGGGAAACAATTAGCCTTATTAACTGGCACGTTATCCTCCTTCCAAAGAGGAACGGACCCTTACGTCGTGGGCTGAGGATTCCAGGAGCATTTCGCGAGACCCACGACAACCCAACTATATAAGGGCATCAGCCCCTGAGACCCAAGTAGATGCACAATTTAGTTCTCGTAGCTCTCCAGCTATCTTAAAATCTCCGATTCGCTAACTTAAGCATTGGAGTGCCCACCCCGGGTAAAGCAATCTGGGCACTCTGACACTATTTCCTTACTGGTCGCATCAAAGCCACATCTCCAGCTCGTCACCACTTAACTAGGCATCAGAGCCACCTCTCCAGCTCGTCACCACTCAGTTAGGCATTAGAGCCACCTCTCCATTTCGTCACCATTCAGCTAGGCGTCCAAGCCACATTCCAGGTAGGGATTATTCAGCCAAGCATCCGAGTCACCTACCAACCAGAAATTGCCAAAATACGCATGATCTTATTTTCTAACGTTTAAGATGATGCCATATCATTGTATCGTTGACAACAATACATCTTTTTCCATAAAAACATTCAATTTAGTGCTTTTGGGAAAAATGATATCAAATAAAAGGGTGTTACAATTTTCTTTAATGTGGCACTTATATAACACCCTTTTCTCAGAAAACGATATTGATGCCAAACATTTCCTTAACTTTTAAATTTATACAGCTATAGATCTACAGCAACTGTGGTCCGTCATCTGTGGGCAAGGTCATGGGAGTCATGGGCCGGGGGGGTTGGGCGGCTCTAAGACAGTTGTGTCATCTGTGGGACATGGTTTTACCGGTGTACTTACTTTGGTCTCTAAGGAGACAGCGACTTCGATGGGATGGGAAACACGTCAATTTAGCCAGCGAGTGGACGCCCGATAATTGACATTAATGGGCAAATTGGGAATCTTGATTGATTTTTTAATCATAGGAACGAAGCAGTTTAAGCCACGTGTCCACGCGTGGCGCCAATAATTCTCCTTCATTGGTTCTCTGCCATCCATGATCCAACGCATCAGCATCCGCATCAACTCTTTTGTGTGCTAGTGGCAGTACAAAACTATAAAAAAATATGAGAGAGAGAGAGAGAGAGCTAACTTCTCTCTCACCATAAAGAATAATTCATATATGTTTTTGTTTTATCTGTAAAATACTTTGGTGGTGGAGGTAGTGGTGGGAGCACATCAGGGAAGAACGTACTGGGCAAGTGGGTGGATGTGGATATCACTCGTCTACTTAATCCGCTTACTTTGTGCAAAAGCCCGTCACCTCCCATTTTTATTTTTTAGCTTACACAGCTCTATATAGGGTTTTCATCTGAATATGTTCTCTCTTTTTTTTTTTGGTAAAACCTGAATATGTTCTCTAGCTCTATCAGTTTCGTGCTTTTCTTTTCTTTCTTTCTTTTTCTTTTTTTTTTTCATTTTCCTTTGGCTATGCTTTTAAATCTTTTTCTCCATCTCTATCTCTCTCTCTTTCTTTTAGAATTTTTGTTTTGGTTCATCCACTTGTATTTGCAGGCCTTCCAAGGGTCATTTAAGTTGGGTCCCACCTTTAATGGAATTGTCTAACCATTTAATTTCCCGCCCTTATCTGATAAAGCCGACCCCCTTTGAAGCCATGGCCGATGAGTGACGACACATCACCCATAAACCACCTCTTTCACACATGGTCCACCATATAACAATTGGTCAACATTGATTGGTTGAGCTCAC